ACAGAGTAATAGACTGGTTTGGGTTGGAAGGGAGCTTAAAGCTCCTCCAGCTCCAACCCCTGCCATGGGCAGGGACACCTTCCACTAGAGCAGGTTGCTCCAAGCCCCTGTGTCCAACCTGGCCTTGAACACTGCCAGGGATGGGGCAGCCACAGCTTCTCTAGGCACCTTCATGAAGCATGAATTTCATGGAGAACATCTGCAAGGTATGTTTTGAAGTCTTGCTTCATGGGACAGTGGAGGTAGTGCTCAGAGCCTCAGAAAGCTTTCTCCTGGAAGACCCATGGTAGAACGTAGCTGTGAGCTTTCCATAAGTCTGACTTTCAGCAACATGAGAGGTGACAACTGACTCTATACAGAGAGAGAAGGCTCTTCTAGTGACCAGAACTGTTACCTCACAGAGTTTTAGCTGATTGAGTAGACTATGGCTTATCAGTAGGTAAGAAATAAGGTAAGATAGAGAAAGCAAATGCAAAAGGAAGCTTTGAGTAACTAACTTTCCTACCCATTGCTAAAATGATTGCTGTGTTTGCCTGCCCACCAGTGTTCAGGTGAGGAGTCTGCTGCCTGTCAGGCAGGTTCAGGAGGGAATTCTGCTGGCAAATCAACTTTTCCTGTGCTCTCTTAGTTTAGCTTGCATGTGCACCAGCTCCCCACTGGGAATCTCCTCTTAACCCCACTTGGTTTTCCACTCGAGTAACTACAGTTTACAGAAGAGTCATACACTTCACTTAAGAAATGATAACTGGTTTGAATTCTGAATAACTGTATATAAAACACAGATGAGGATTTTATAAACCGAGAGCTTATGCTTGGAATGCAATTTGTAAGAGCCCTGCCATTTGGGTTATGGAAAGTAGTCCTATAGCATGACTTCTCCAGCAAGAGAAAGAGGAGGTTGTGCTCATGTTGATGGTTCCTACCATTATACAATCTGTGGGAACTGCTTGTGTTTCACTTAAAAGTTATCCCTTTCCTGTTTACTTGGAGGAGCACTGAAAGCTTTTTAGAGATTCTTCCATTTCTCTTGGCATTGGGCTATTAATATCTTTATAGATTTTTATCGTGGCCTCTTTTTCTAAAGATAGACACTTGGGTTGCTGAAGAGCAGTTCAATAAAAGGTATCAAAGTGGTTTGTCTAAAGAAGGATCTCCAAACATAATGTTCTTGGGTTTATAAGTGTCCTTTTTGCCCTTCCATAAAAGCCACATCCCAAAAGCTCCATTCTGAAATCACTCGGATTTGTGTCTTCTGCAAAATAAGCCATTTTCAGTGTAAATATTTAGATATAGGCTTTTATTTATAGTATTTAGATGATAGGAAGATCACCCATTGCAGTCAGGGAAAATAAAGCCTCACGAAAGCATTTCCATCTCTCTCTTCTGACTCATGCATGGAAAGATAAAGATTTAAGACTCCTCAATTGTAGGCATGGAACAAGAGGTTGGTTAAAACCCTTTTTTCCTTTCTTTTACTGGCCTGTAAAATCAGAACTAGAATGAAGGCCGGAGTCTGATTTTGAGTTACTACATGCAAAGCTGATCTTCAAAGTACTGAAGTCAGAGTAATGCTGGCAGTAAAGATCACTGGATCTTTTAATAATCTTAGGACATTTTTAATAAGAGTTGATGAAATGAGGCTCTAAAGCATAATAAATACCCATCTTTCCAATTCAGAAATACGCAGGTTTTACAGGTAAAGGAAAAATGTTTGTAAACAGGGTGTTGTTGTCTGCAGAACTCGTTCTGAATCATCGTTTTAAATGGATTAAGTGTTTCCAGAACTTTCTTGGTTCAAATCTGTAGACACCACAGAGAAACGCTGTTGTAGACTGGGGACAAAGGGGTGGTCAGAAGGACAGAGGGACAGTGAGCTGTGCAGGCCCCATGTCCCTGGATATACAATCTGAGTGTCTCTCTTGTACAAGCGTTTCCTCATTGTTTCTACTCATAGTCTCCATTAAAATAACTTGTTTGTCTCAATGGAAGTTGGAATATTATTGGAAGATTCTCTTAACTGGGCCCATTTTACTCACATCTGTCTCTCTGAGGTTGTTTATTCGTGTAAGAGAGGATGGTGCTTGTCATTCTAGTAACAGAAAAGGACTGTATGATTTATTGCAGAGCCTTCCCAATGTCTCACAAGTGTTTGCTGATGGATGAGCTCGACTGAGATGTCCCAGCTCATAATTCACAAGTCACAACATAACTCAGCAAAGAGATGCCTGTTCTCAGCATACAGCCCTCTTGCAGTGACGTGACATCAAGTTGTTTCAGATGTTGGTGATCACTACAACAAGGAAAGATCAGTGACATTGGTTAAGCTCTAGCTTCTGCCTTCGTTTAGAACAGATTGGCTGCAGTGATTTGGCATCACACAACAGCAATCTCCAGCATGTAGCTGCGGCTCCACAGGATGGCTTTGTGGAGGCAAAATGGGATGAGTATTTACACATTGCCTTTCTTTTGTACCCTGCAGGAAAATCATTCTCCCTAAATGCATCATAACCTGTCAAACGTTTAGTTTTGCTTCTCTTGAACTAAATATTTCCTCTTTCCCATCAATTTCTTTTAAGCAGGCCCCTTGATCCATGTGCCAGCTCAGGCACTGAGCAGTGTTAGTGTCCTGGAGCAGGTGAGGTGCCAGTTAAATGCACACTGCCCAACCTTCTTGTGGGTTTGGGAGGGATGTTGAACTTGGTGAGGTTCACGTTAAAACACAGGGAGATGGAGGTTTTCCTGCACTTTTATTTGGATTACTGGCTTGCTGATTGTACCTATGATTAGGATAGTGCTTGTTAAAGAAGCTGGGTGTTGAGGTCTGGAGGAACGGTGTGAACAACCATGGCTTCTTCAACAAGGGCATTAAACCTAATAACCCCTGCTGTTAAGTATGTCTCAGCTAGAACTTCCGTGTCAGCCAAGACATAACCTAACAGTTGGAAAAACTAAGCAGGAGGTAGTGGTTTGAACCATGATGTGAACAGTCCTTTCCTAGAAATCTACACCCTACCTCAAAGGGAGTCATCAGTCAGTAGTTACGTGGTAAGTGCTGATGTATTATGTTGGCCCTTGGCACAGGCCTTCAGCTGCTTCTGACAAGTAAAGGTGGCCTAACCATGATGCCGCTTTGTGGGCACTGTGTTCATGGGCATATTTGGTCCAAAAAACACAGGTCAGGCAGGTTCAGAAGAGGCAAATCTCTTCCAATAACTCTGTACTCAGTAAGGCTGTCACCATTAGCTTGTTCATGGAATCATAGAATGGTTTTGGTTGGAAGGGTCCTTAAAGATAATCTAGTTCCATTGAGTCACATCACACAGACCTTGCCTTTATACCTGAATTGTGAATCCTGATGATTAAATTCATTACTTATGGCATAAAAATAGGTTTTTTTCCTATAACATGATCTCTGCATCACCGCAGAGCACACAACAGTCTTGGGAAAATCTTTTTTATCAGTGTTGTTAGTCAAGATTTGATGATACTTTAAACAGCAGGAGATTAGACTTCCAAATTTGCAGCAGAGGCTATTTTGGGCAGGGATTGGTATAATACTGCTTGGTAATGGATGCTTACGTGTGCCGAACAGGGAGCACAAGGTACAGGTTGATCTCGCCAGCAAAGGTCGGATTCTGTTCACACCAAACACAGGTTTGAATACTAAATGCTTTTCCTTCCTGGGGTGAAGACACTGGGCTTTTCAGTCTTGGCATCAGTTGGACTGCAAGAAATGGATTGTTTTGGTTTTAATGCTTTACAAAGAAGCATGTCAGAGTGGTTACCTGGCCTGTGCTGATAAACCGAGAGGAGATCCCGAAGGACACGAGTGGAGCTGCTCTTCTGGGCCAGGCTGCCATCTGCAGGCCACTGCTCTCCATGCTGCAGAGGTGTGGAGCAGGCTTTGGGGGTTTCTTTCCTTCTCCCGAAGTTGTTATTGTTAAAATATGATTGTCAAAATGTTAAATTATTATTGTTAAAGTATATATTAAAAACGACTTGTTACAAGTTGTTTTTTTCTAGTTATACTAGATATATAACTAGTTATAAATATATCTATTTATAACTAGAAATATATAACTAGATTTTCTAGTTATATATATACAGTTCTATATATATAACTAGATTTTCTAATTATATATTTCTAGGTAAATACCATGTAATAAATCCAATTTATCTCCATCTGATCCTATGAACAGTCACCTCACATCTGGGAAAAAAACCCCAAGGATAGCAGGGATAAATAAGCCTCATTAGATTTCTCTAGAGGTTAATAATGTGCTTTTCTTTTATCATCTGTTGTTCAATTCTATAAGTAAACATTTTTGTGCTTTAGAAAGGGGTCATTTCATCTGACACTCTCAGTCCATTAATCTTTATGGTGGTGGTTTTAGATGAACAGAACCACTGCAATACTCAACTCCTGTTGAATAGTAGAAGTTTGGTGGAGAATGGGGTTATGTGTATGTGAGTACCAAGTGCTGAAGGCTTTCCAAGCATCCCAAAGACCCAAAGGTTTTATAGTCCACAAGTAGATAGAGGATGCAACAAAGCCGTTTGGTTTCTAATACAGCCCATTTTGGCTGCTGGTACTTCACAGAGGTCACCCCTACCCAAAAGAAGCCCCCATCAAAAGAAATGCAACACGCTCAGTACAGTTCAGCAGATTTTGGTCAGTAGCAGCTAATGTAGATTCATGGTTCCACTGTTAGACATATCACTGATTGTATTAAGTTGTATTTCAGTAGCTTAAATATACCTATTGTTACCTTCTTATTGCCCAGGTATTTGAAAGATTAATAGTCTGTGCTTTCCTCAGCTGTTAATTTTTACCTGTTGATAAGAAATCTTAACTGAGGGGTTCATTTGTGAGAGAATTTACTGTAGGTAAATGACTGATCAATTTACCGTTTTCAGAGGTACAACAGAATCTCATGTCTGAAGTGAAACGTTACCTAACCTTAAAATAACCTTAAAATCCTGTTTTGTCTTTCTTTTAGGTCTTCCTGAACAATACTACAGCCTCACTTGGTTCCTCAGCCCCATCCTGGGCTTGATCTTCACTCCGCTTATAGGTTCGGCCAGTGACCGCTGCACGCTGAGCTGGGGCCGCCGGCGGCCTTTCATTCTTGCTCTCTGCATTGGTGTCCTCTTTGGAGTTGCACTTTTCCTTAATGGTTCTGTAATAGGTAAATAATGAGGAAATCACCTGCATGTATCTCCTGCTGACATACCTGCTGCCAAATTTTGATGTAGGAAGTAAAGATAACGCTCTGCAGTTGATTTAACCTGTGTTTAGGGTTAAAATCATTAGGAATCACTGCATTTGAGCTGTCCGCCTTGCCTGGGTTTATCCTTACTCTAAAGTTTGGGTGCTGTGCTGAGGCTTGTGCAGTCGTGGCTGTAACTAGTAATACAGTGTTGTTAATACAGTGGTTGCCAGCATAATGTTTGCAGTCGCTGAGACGAATTTGGTCGATCTTTGACATGGGAAAATTGTAGCAACCTGTTCACAGGGAAATGTTTCCTGTTGTGATCCATTTTCCCTTTAATGCATATCTGGCAACACATCCTGTTTCCAGCATTATTTCAGAAATTATCTTTTCACTTTTTCTGGTGCTTTTCTTAGAGCTGGTATTGAAACAGTCCAGAGCACAGTTAATATTTGTTTATCAAAAAACCATGTGGGAAAATGATTTTTCCTGAGCCCCCATCAAAGCTGGTAAAAATAGTTTCCCTTGAACGTAGTTTACTACAGAACTTAATCTCCAATCTCTTTGTAAATTTAGTGTAGGAGAGGTGACAGCAAGTACATTTGGGGAACTGTTTACATCATGGTTGGACTGATGCAAATGAAAGGAACTTAGCACCTAATAATATCCTCTTGGCTCTCTTTTTTTGGGAGTTAGATGCAGCTCCATTGTCAAAAACTTGTACTAATTGAGGGAAACAAGTGGAACATTACCTTGGCTCAGCGTGTGAGCTTTTTAAAGCCAGGTTTTGGATGCCATATGATGGGGTTTAGTTCTCTGCAGTGGACAGACTGTTCAGATGAATGACGTTTAATTTATGCTGCTTTAATTTCCCCCAGTAATAGATATTATTTGAATTGCGCTCATATGGTATCAGTTGTACTGTGGTGATGTGTCTCCAAGACTTACTCCTCCCCCTCCAGATGTATGCAAGATGTTAAACTGCATTATGAGATTTTAATTGATAGGAAGCTCTTACTTCCACACAGTAGTTTAGGTCAGTAGCCATTGGTGCTGCCAAGCAAACCTCATACGCAGTTTATAGGCTTATTTGGAAGTATCTCACCTTGTAAGAAATCAGCCCAAAATACTGCCTGCGACTTCTCTCTAACGTCTTGTTGCTCAGTAATACAGTCTGTGCATGGCTTTCCAGAAAACCTGTGCTTTCCAGGTACTCCAGTGGTACTCCTGTGCCATGAAACCTCTTTGAAACACAGAGGGTGTTGCAGCACACTGCAAAAGTGAGCTGAGTGCTTTGTGCATCTGTTCTTGGGATGTGGTTGTGGTAGGTTCTGAAGGAAAACCCTCTTCTGAAGAGCACTTTAAACACTGCTGTGCCTCTCCCAAGGGAGTCTGGAGTGAACTGAAGTGATAGCTGTTCTATGTTCTTCTTTAGATCTTTTCCATATTAGAAGATCAAGGTTTGCCACTAACATTCAATTTTATAGACTCACAGAATGGTTTGGGTTGGAAGGGGCCTTAAAGATCATCCAGTTTCAACCCCCTGCCACAGGCAGGGACACCTCACACTAGAGCAGCATTTACATCAGCATAAGATAGCACGTGAGCTACTATTTAAAGCAGATGCACAACATGATGAATCAGTATAAGTCTGTCTTTAATTGAAGTTTTGAAATGGTGACTTGTGTCACTTTTTGGAGAGAAATAGTATTGCTTATCCATCTCCCAAAAGGGTTTGCAGGAAGAGGCCTCATTTGTAACCAGATTTTCCTCTAGAGGAGCCCCGTATGCTCTCATTGTCCGTGTTCTTCCCGTTTTATGTTCACACTTTCCTATCCTTTCTCTCCAAGTTGTTGCAATCCTAATGTCAGTTTGGGTCTGCAGGAGATGCTATAAAAACTGAGGCGGCCCTTGTAGTATGAGGTGGCCTTTTTCCATAACCTGGCCTTTGGCAATAGGAGTCATAGAGATGGGAACGAGGAGCAGAAGAGCATCCTGAAAAAGAGGTTTGCTCATCCTAATAGTAGTAGAACCATGTCCCAGGAGAACAGCAGTGGATTGATCTTATTCAACCCTTGTTCTCTCCACTATATACACTGTTCAGGTTTCCAACAAATCTAAAGCACTGACACCACTGGTGTTTCCCCTGTAACGTTCAACCAAGCGTGGAACACACACGAACTTCCTCAGCATTCAGAGGCCTTGGTATAGATGAGGATTGAATATGAAGGAATCAGCTCTTGAGATGTAGCTGATTTTTGGTGGCTCAGCCACTTCATCTCTTTCCACACTCATTTTCATCAGTTACACTAATGGTTTTATCAGTCCTGCATGTGTAACTTCTAAATCTCCCTGATCCAAGTAATTCACGCTCTTGTCAGTGGTTTATTTCATGACAAATTCCCCAGCTATGTACTAATGCTGCCTTTCTACTCGGTAGACAAAAAGCATTTCATCCCCTGCTATCACCAGAAGCCAGCTGATGCTCTTTGCAGTGCAAAATCCCTTCATCTTGCTTCAGCCTTGAAAGTTTGGCTTATAAAAGTGATCTGGAAAATATGAATAAGCAAAGAGAGAGGTGAAGGGGTTAAAATACATTTATCCCGGCGTAGTGCAGCCGTTGCCTATTGGGCACCGAGGCAGGAAGGCTGTGGATAGCCATTGACAGAGATACTTTTAAAACAACATATTGCAGAACAAATGTTAGTCCTTAGTAAAAACATAATCTTTGTCCCAGACCTTCCATGAAGCTGTGCCAAAGAGCTGAAATTGCCATTTTACTCCATAAAGGAGTGTTTCCAGGGAGCATGTTGGCCACCTTTCTCTTAAGGAGTTAAGGTTACTCTTCGTGGTTCTCCCTTTTTGGGCCACCATGCTCAGATCCCTCTTGTGTTCCTCCTCAGGTCTGGCTATCGGCGACGTCCCGGACAAGCAGCCCATTGGAATAGTTCTCACAGTGCTTGGTGTTGTGGTGTTGGACTTCTGCGCCGATGCAACAGAAGGGCCAATTCGGGCCTATTTGTTGGATGTGGTGGACAGTGAAGAGCAAGACATGGCCCTTAACATCCATGCGTTTTCAGCTGGTATGGAGTTGGTTGATGTGGTTTTTGCTACTGTCAAGTCTTCCTGATGGTCAAGTTGTGACTGAATTGATTGTTTTCTCTTCCACAGGTCTTGGAGGAGCGATTGGTTATATGTTAGGAGGGTTGGACTGGACACAGACCTTCTTGGGTGATATTTTTAAATCCCAACAGCAAGTCCTTTTCTTCTTCGCAGCCATTATTTTCTCTGTCTCCGTTGCTCTCCACCTTTTTAGCATTGAAGAAGAGCAATATAACCCTCAGCAGGACAGGATTGATGAAGAAGGAGACACCCTTTCCAGTGTCAAGCTCAGTGGTAGTCTCCCCCCTGTGAACCGACTGAATGTAATTAGTGAGGAAGAGCCGTATGGAGCCTCCATGTTCCACGATGAGGTTCAGTCAGAGCATGATCTCAACATGGAGTTCCTTGAGGTGAACATTGTGAGAAGCAAGAGTGACTCTGTTCTGCACATGCCCGATGCTACATTGGAAATTGAATCAGAGCTGCTGTTTCTGCACGACATCGAGCCCTCCATTTTTCAGGATGGTTCATATCCAAACACTCCCCACAACACAAGCCAAGAGACCATGAAGTCCAAACTCAACCACCTCTCTGCTTTCCTCAGGGACAGTGAGAAAGAGGAGGACATGTTGCTTGATAATCGGTTGAACGACGATAAAGTCCCAAACATCAACGGCTCCCTACCAAAAGAGTTCCTCAACGGACACGCGCGGATAGGCATGAAGCAATCCAGCACGTCGAACTCCATGCGGCGGCGGCGGCACATGTTCTACCGTCAACCATCGTACACCTTCTCCTACTACGGCAAGATAGGCTCCCACCGCTACCGCTTCCGTCGCGCCAACGCCATCGTCCTCATCAAGTCCTCCCGCAGCATGAACGACATCTACGACATGCAGAAGTGGCAGCGCCAGAGGTGCAGGCACAGGAACCAGAGCGGCACGACGAACTCGAGCGGAGACACGGAGAGCGAGGAGGGGGAGACCGAAACCACCGTCAGGCTCTTGTGGTTGTCCATGCTAAAGATGCCAAAGGAGCTGCTGAGACTGTGCGTCTGTCACCTCTTAACTTGGTTTTCCATCATTGCTGAAGCTGTGTTCTATACAGATTTCATGGGACAGGTCATCTTTCAGGGCGATCCAAAGGTAAGAGAGCACTTACCACTGGCAAAACTGCTTGTAGTTACTCACTTCTGAGATGTTCTTGTTACAGGAAAATGGGTTTGTGCTTCTGTTTGCTGCAGGCCCCTTCTAACTCGACTGAGTTACACGCCTACAATGCTGGAGTTCAGATGGGATGCTGGGGACTGGTAATTTATGCTGCTACTGCTGCTGTATGTTCAGGTAAGAGGCTGCACAGTCAGGCAGTGGAATTCACCTCACTTCCACTCAGAAGGGAAAAAAGAGTTTTGCTTCAGTTACCATCAGCCTCCTTTGGGGTGAAGGATATTTTGGAAAATACATGGTCATAAGGGGAGGGGGTGCTTTAAGAATCAGTGTTTTAAAATCCCTCCAAATGTAGAGGTGGGAATATGAACAGATGGGTTAAGTGGCATAAAGCAGGAAATGCTATCAAAGGATGTTGGATGGCATTTAGCTAGTCATCAGGAGACTGAAATGATGCCTGTGAGAAGATTCAAGCATATGTGAGAGGGGTTTTGCAAAGCCTGTTTTTAAAATCCAAGTTATAAATGCCTGTTTTGGAAAGTCTTTCATGCTCTCTAGTAACATAAACCAACTACAGACAGTTTGGGCTTGGAATACAGACTCCAAACCTGAGAGCTTTGCCAGAGTCTGCCTTTTGCAGCACATTGCAGGCACGTCCCCACCACAGAGCAGCATGGTGGCGACTGCCTCTGTGTTGAGACATGTCCAGGTTCAGGTGGGCAGCTTGTTTCTGAGCACAAACTGAAACGCGTGGCTATAAACGTCAATTACCTGCTTGCTTTGTTTAGGAGAGGTGTTTGCATTAGAAACAGAATCTCCCCTGTGCTCAGGGTGTATCTGCACCGATAAAAGTTCATAAATAGGTAAAATTACTGAATGGACTGAGTGGACCATGATGTGTTTGACTCCGAAAGCATTTTGTTCTGCTTCAGACTTGTAGGCAAGGCTCTGAGCTCATTTATTCCCTAGTTTCTGAAGGGGCAAGATGTGCTTTTCCCAGTGAGGGCTGAGCTATGCTGCTAAGACAAGCCATATATGCAGTGAGCATCCAAGCCCTGAACAGCACATTGACCTGTCCTGGCCACATCAGTGCCATAGAGCTTCACTGAGTAAACTGATTTTAATGTTTTACTCTTCATCTCCACAGCCTTGTTGCAGAAATACTTGGACAACTACGACCTTAGTATAAAAGTGATCTACATCCTGGGCACGCTGGGTTTCTGTGTTGGCACTGCAGTGATGGCTATCTTCCCCAACGTGTATGTCACCATGATAATGATCAGCACTATGGGAATAGTCTCCATGAGCATCTCCTACTGCCCCTATGCGCTTCTGGGACAATACCATGATATCAAACAGGTACGTGGAGTATTGTCAAGGCTCTGTCCAACCTGGCCTTGAACACTGCCAGGGATGGAGCATTCACCACTTCCTCGGGCCCCCTGTGCCAGCGCCTCAGCCCCCTCCAGGCAAGAACTTCTGCCTTATCTCCAACCTGAACTTCCCCTGTTTCAGTTTGAACCCGTCACCCCTTGTCCTATCACTGCAGTCCCTGATGAAGGTCCCTCTCCAGCATCCTTGTAGCCCCCTTCAGACACTGGAAGCTGCTCTGAGGTCTCCACCAGCTTCTCTTCCCCAGGCTGAACAGCCCCAATGTTCTCAGCCTATCTCCATACAGGAGGTTCTCCAGCTCCTGCTCATCCTCGTGGCCTCCTCTGGACTTGCTCCACCAGCTCCATGTCCTTCTGATGTTGAGGACACCAGAGCTGTACACACAGTGCTTCAGAAGGGGTCTCACAACAGCAGAGCAGAGGGGGTAGAATCACCTTCAACCAAAGAAGGAGAGCTGCTACTTCAGTCAGATGCTGTTAGCATCAAGTTGACCCAGTGGGGTCATGATTGCTGAACCCTGTGCTGAGGTGTAAGAGGATTTGGGTGCATGTGGTAGATGAAGAGAGATGAACTAGTTATTGGAGTGTTTGTTGTATACCTAGATGTTACTACTGTTCCTGATGTGTTACGTTAGCATTGCTCAGGTTTTTTACAGTCTTAGATATTGAGGTGAATCTGGAAATGCAGCTGTAAGTTTGGGGAGATAGAAGGTAAACTGAAACAAGGACACATTTATTTTCCACTCGTTAGCTCTGTTCCATTGGATTACAGATTACAGGAGGGGCATTTATTTACCATGGTTCTGCATTTGGATCAGGATTCCTTTTTATAATCATGAAATGCATTTCCACCAACTGTTTAATGTAAATTCTTTTAACAAAACCTAATCTTGAAGCCAGTTGATGCTAGTAGTGCCCTAGTAAATACCTGCCTCTTGGTGCAAGACGAGGAGGCCACTGCTAAGTAGACTAGGAGGCTGCTGCTCTGGACTGTGTGATGCACAAGGATGGCACAAAGTTGACCCCTTGAGGAGGATTCTAGTGTTCAGATACTGGGTTTAATGCGTTGTTTTCCCTCCTAACCACGTTTCTTGTCTTCTTCCAGTACATCCACCACAGTCCTGGGAACTCCAAGCGTGGCTTCGGCATAGACTGCGCCATTCTGTCCTGTCAGGTTTACATCTCCCAGATCCTCGTGGCCTCCGCGCTCGGCGGCGTGGTGGACGTAGTCGGCACGGTCAGAGTCATTCCCGTGGTGGCTTCGGTGGGATCCTTCCTGGGGTTTTTGACAGCCACCTTCTTAGTGATTTACCCTGAAGTCAACGAAGAGCCAAAGGAAGAGCAGAAGGGACTCGACCCTCCAAAGCCAACCGAGGCCAACGGCACGAGCACCGCGAAGCCGCCCGTGCTGAAGCTCACTCGCAAGGGAGACGCCGCGGCGGGGCTGGAGGGCGAGTCAGCCGTGTGAGGCTGCTCCTCCACCACGTTCCAGGTGCAGGATTGAGGACTTGGGGTCGGGATTTTCTTTTCCAGGAGAACAAATTCGGGTCTTCACTACTCGTAGCTAAAAAGAAAAGGCAGTTTTGTGCAAACATGTAAATGAAATCCTGTAGTCCTTCACCTAGGTTTGGCGCCGTGGCTGTGACGCCGATTGCTTTCTCTGCAGCTTAGAAACGTCATCCCCGACCACTTTTTTATTAAGGATACATTTAGATTTCGAGTAAGTTTTATTAACCTGCATGAGACTCACAGTGTATACAATTAGCTGTTAGGAAAACATGAAGTTTTCAGCTGGTTTTAACTGAAAATGGAAGCTCTCTTGACTTAGTCTCTTGCTGCTTTTTTTGTCTGACCATTTCAGATTTCACTCGTGTGACAGCTCAATCAAAACGCTTTGACATCTCGATCCATTTCTTTCCATGAGCATGGTATTATCTGTCTGACAGCGACAGTTCTTTAAGGTTCATTTTAGACTTCCTGGGTTTTATTAGTGCAATGACTAAGAATAGGTTTCTTTGCTGTTATTTTCAAGCAAAACAAAAGCAATTACTGCAGTTTCTAAGAAACTGCTGCGAATCCTTTAGTCACACTGTTGAACAACAGCTCCCAGGTCTGCTGCTTGACAGGAGAGGCTGATGCTGAGTGCTTGATATCAACTGTAGATGGAGGGAGCAGCAGCTGGGAGAGGTGACCAGCACTCACAGGTTCGTACCACAAGTGCTGCATTTTATGAATGTCGTTGGAAAATGCTGTGACAATGTTGAGCTGGGGGGTTGTGTGCTGGTGAACTTGGCATTTAAACCTGATCATCTCTGGAGGAAGCTGCCACAGAGAAAGGGCATCTCTGGGGTCAGCTTCATGGGAGGGGCCATGTGGATTCTCTTTCGTAGGGAAATGAAGTCATTGCTTAATTGCACTTTGATCCTTTAACCTCCTGGCTGGGAGCACAGCAGCCAAGGTAAAGGCACGGTGTCAGTACAAGGTAAACCCGAGGCCTACCTCCGTCACGTTATAGCATAGTCTGGGTGTATCAAAATCTGTGTCAGAAACAGTTTTTAGGCCTTAAAATCCAGTCCATGTGTTGCTGTTCCCGTCCCTGTGTTGGAGGAATTGCAGGCTGGAGCTCTTCCGCGATGTTGCGGGTGGAGCCCCTTCCGAGCTGCCGCCCCAGTGTCATCGGCGCAACCTCCGCGTCCCCTTCCTTGATTCAGGACGTAGCCGCAGTGCAGAGACGTTTGTTCTGGGAAGAGTTTGAAAGAGTTGTGCAAATCTGGTTCCAAATAGCTCTTGGATCACCAGCAGCGTGTCCCAGCCACAGCTCAGTGATCCAGCAGCCATCTAAAGCAACTTCAGGAACCAAACTTCCATTTGCTGTCTTCTGAGCAGCATTTGGGATGCTGTTTTTACTCATTTCCACATGCTCCCACGGGCTGCACTCAATCCATGTGCTTAAACAGACAAATCTCAGCTCATTGTAAGGTTTCTGCTGCCTCAGACTTCTCATACTACACGACTTCAAAATGCACGTGTAGATCATGCTGCAGTAGAGTCATCCAACAGAAGAACATCTCTTTCAAACAGAAAAGCAGTTTTTAACAGATCACTTGAATTGCCAGTGGATTGAAGAGCCGAGTGGTTGAAGTTGAAGCTCAGTCTTGGCCAACATCCTTGCCAAATGGCTGGTGGCATCCATGGCTTTCTTAGCTGAAGGCTTTCAGTGCTGATGTCCTGTTCTGTCACGGGTGACAGTGTTGGGTTTAGGCTGGTGCAACCACCCAGCACTGAAGTACACGTCATCCCCCAGGATTTAGGGGTTGTTTGGTTTTTCCAAGTGTCTTGAGAAAGTCTTTTTTGTCTTTAAGGTGACTGCATTTTCCATGTAGAACACATACTGTGAACTGTGTTCAGACAGGGGAGTGATACTACTGAAGAACATGAGACCTTCTGGAAGAAATCAGTTGTGAGAAACACTTGAACTGAACTTCTGCCGTGAACTTTATCATCTCAGTTGCATTTAAGATATATCCCGGTGATGTTCATATAGAACAGGTTGTGTTTCACCCTCTAACTGCCATTAGTGTAAAACACACACTGAGTTAGACATTTTAAAGTGGCTTTAATACTTTATATTTGAAGCTCCTTGAAGATTCTGCTTTTGTTGCAGTGAACACTGTCAAGTCCTCCCTGTTTTAACCTCTATTTCTGGTTCTTCTACAGTTTAAATCTCTGCATCTTCTGACCAGTGCCAGCCTTACCCTTTTCCCCAGTGAGCTGCATGGAGCAGTGTGCTTTCAAATCACCATTTACTCCACATGGCACCTTCCTAAGCCAAGGTTCCTTTCCCAGCACCATCGAGCTGACCAAGGTCAGGCTGCAGAGGAGAAGCTGAAGCTCCCTCTCATTTCACACCCAGCAGAGGGAGCATGAAACCTTTTTGGGGGGGAGCTCACACACATTTCTTCAGCTGTCTCAGCCAGGGCAAGGATGTTTCCAACCCAGAGGTTCTCAGTCAGAGGCAGGTCCAGCTTTGTCCCAGCCAGCATTTGGCATTGCCTCATGTTGAAGAAGTGGATGTTAAAATCCACGTTCAGAGTTGTTCCTGGGGCTGTTTAGTTGCTGTTTTAACACAGGGATGTACAAGCTCTGCTCCACCCCCCTGGAAAGCTGAAGGAAATCATAATTCATTGTAAACATACTGAAGCATTTGTAGTATTGCCAGAAGGAGCCACAGTGTCTCCTCCTGTCCCTTGGCCATGGAACCACCACACGCTCCCTGCGCTGTGCTTGGCTTCAGAGATCCTGCACAGCAATGATTTGCTTCAGTTTGAGTTCTCTTTCTAACCCAGCACTTCTCAGGTAGCGTGGGCAATGATTTAGTTCTTGATGTGTCCCTCACCTTGTCTTTTGATACCAAAATCCTTCATTTTTTGGTCATGATCAAAAGGTGTGAAGTAGGATTTTACCTGTTTATTGCAGAAGTTGTGGGAGGAGAGATTTGAAGTGGCTTTTATTTACTCCTGGGGACAATAAGCATCATTTTTAGTTTGTTGGTGTTACTGTATAGTCACATTGGTCCCACGTGCTCCATCCCTTCGGACCTTTACTGCAGTAGGCTCAAGGTTTGATGGCTTCCTTCTGTGTTGCTCTGTACTGAAACAGCTTTAACATACTCTGCTGCAGGCACTAAGCTGCACCTCTAGAGATACTTCACATGAGAGCAAAGAAGCTCGAACTTCAACCCCTCAGAGAGGCACAGGGTGGATTTTGTGCTGGTGGGTTATTGCAGGAGGCCAGTGGGATCTGTGCTCTTTGTGGATGGCGATTTCAGACTCCAGAGCAATAATTTCTTAGGGATGTTCCTCTTCCTGCTGGTTAGATGACTTTCAAAGAGATTTATTACCTGAACAGCCTTTTCATGGCATGGATCTGGTCATTTGCTAGTGCTGGAGTGATGGAAGGATGCGGGTTGTTCGTCATCAGGAGGGAGGAAGGCAGTAAATCCAGTGGAGGTTCGTGCTCCTTGAAACACACCACGTCCTTTCCCCTTTCGTTTGGAGCTTTTTTGGACTAAGATATCCCCAGTGTGGTGGGCTGGGAAGGAGGTAGCTGCAAATTCAGCCTCCTGGCTTTGTAACCGGTGCTGATGCTGCATGAGGTTTTCCCCAGAGGCATGGACGTGAGGGCTGAGGCTTCCTCATCCCTCTGCCATCTGCTCTGAATCCCCTCAGCACTTGGAATGACAGCAGCAGCGATCAGTGCCAGGTACCTCATTACACCTCAGTTCCATCATTGGACACATCCACCCATCATCAGTTGGTGATGAGCTGGGTCCTCCTCCAGCACCCACCATCACAGGATCTGCGTGGCTACCACCTTACCCACTTAAGAGTAAGGTGGAGAAGGCCACAGTGTGTTCCTGGGCAGGAGGGGAGTTCGGGGGCCAGGATTCATTCATTTCTGGTGGTCACTCCTGTTCTCAGTGGTATTGGGTAGACACGTTACCAGGTCTCTGCCACTGCCCTGCTCCGTCCCTGCAATGAGTTGTAGTTCAACCACTGAGAGCTGGGCTTTTAAGGTGTGTGTGTGTGTGTATCTGTGTGTAGGTACCTTTGTATACACACTGCTCTGGCCAAAATACCTTCAGTGCTCGTGTGCTTGTCATCCCTGTACTCACACTGCTCTCAACTGAGTTCTTCCAGGTTTCCCTCATCCCATTCCGATGCGAGATGAGCTCAGCTCTAACTACGTATCCTATTTAAGTGAATCAACTCCTGCATGATATTCCAAGCACATGTAGCAGCTTCAGCACCTGGAGTATCTGTTTGTGAAAGAGAAGTTGAGTTTCTTTGCAGCTGGTTTCTCCTTGTTTCCTTCGTAAAAGGCCAAATAAATGTAACGAACACCAAATGTTGCACAGCAAAACGTTAGTGACGACTGTGTAGAAGAAATACCAAATTGTGGTTTTGCTTTGCAGAATCTTTATGGGGACAGAGCCTCCTCTGCCCCTTTGTTCTTCCTTAAACGACAAAGCTGAACGTTTGTGAAGTCAAAACTGGTCGTTTTGTGGCGCTACCCAAAGTTGGCTGTTTCTGATGGTGCAGCCAGAAGGAGCTGCAGAAGCTCAACCGGAGCTTTGACACTTAAGGGGGGATGTTGGATGACAACAAAAAGGCTCAGTTGCCTTTTCCTAATGTGATCTGCTCGTGAGATGTTCCAGGTTTCCCTGTAAGTTAAGTTGGGACCATGTCCTGCAGAACCAGTTCTGTTGGGTTCTTCACCCCTGTGGCTCTCACGGGTTCAACATCACCTTCCTTCAGCCCAGGGAGCACGATGCACCTTGAGTGGTGCCCAGAGGGACGAGCACCTTCCCCCCACCAAGGAGCATCTGCTGCAGTGAAAAGGCTTCTGATGCCCTTAAAACCCCAGGACCTGGTTCCATTTGCCATGCTCTGATGCACTTAAAGTAAG